ACAAACTGATACCTTCATTGTACGGCACTAGTTAATGAGGTGTTGGAAGAAGCCCTTCTAGGTGCAGTTCCAAGTGGGGCAAAAGACACTGGAAACATGGAGGCTGCTTGGAAAGATGGTTTAATGGTGGACAGGATCACATGACTTGAGCTCCTGAGAAGGAGGTGACCACATGTTTCAAGATGTTGGGTGAAGAAGAAAAAGAAATGAAAGTCCCTGGTTTTATGCCCTCTCTGGCCTTTGAGGACCCAGATTGTTGGGGGCAATATGCTGACTCTCTGTAAACCGCTTAGAGAGGCCTGAAAGGCCTATGAAGCGGTATATAAGTCTACTGCTATTGATCTTGATCTTATATGCTGATTGGTTGTCAGACTTCCATGGGGGTATGCAGGGGCAATTCTCTAGGGTGTGTTTTGAGTCCAGGTTTGGTTGAGCATTGCTTCTTCCCAGGTGCCCTGTGGTGAGATGGGTAAGGGGCTAATACTATCATGCCTTAATCCCATCACCCTGGAGCTGAAGGGGATATCTTTGTTATGTAGAATAGACTGGTTCAGGCCTTTTGATGGCCCATCGACAGGGGGGGGGGCTATTATGAGTGAGTCTGTTTCCTGCCTAAAACATGTTTTTTCCATTTCTTATCCAGGGAAATATAATATTCTGCCTTTTCAATATTTCCCACAATATTTCATTTTTCTAGGAGAGGAGTGAGTTTTAACTTCCTACAGTGGGTGACTAAAAAGACACCAAATGGATAATCCAAAATAGCTGAGGAGGCTGGAAAGGTCTGGGCCAAGAGGATGGAGAGGTTGAAAAAGCAACATGTGGATGGGACTGAATTTTGCTCTGACATGTCCTTGCTGATCCAAACTTCTAGCCAGAGTTCTTGGATTAGATAACAAAATATGCCCATTTAAAAAAATATTAATAGTGAGCTAATGCTTATTAGTTATGCCAGATCCTTTGAACACACTGAAAGTCATGAACTTGCACTGTTTAAAAAAATTATAAACTGCTCAGTGTCACCTGGATTGTGAGATGGATGGTATCAAAATTTGATAAATAAATATTTCTCAGTGAGGAATGAAATAGAACTCTGCCTGTTATTTCCTTAAATCTTCAAAAAAAAAAAAAAAGGAGGAGGGATCATTTAAACAATAAAAACAAAAGCTTTCCTGCCAGGATAATTCAGACAAGCAATTATTCTTCCACTAGCAGGTCAAAATGATTTTATTGGGACAAATTTTTGATGGGTCAGCTAGAATGCCTCCTTAGTGGGCTTTAAATGGGTGGGGAAGGGTTGATTTTATTGATACGTTTCTAATGGTGCATTATCAGTGTAACATATGGGTTGAAATATCCCAGAAAGTAGAAGGCAGCTTATGCCCCTAACTTGGTCTTGAAACTGGACAGATCTATGTTTTGATCATACAATTTAGAAATTTACTAGGCTCCATGCCCCCAAAATTAGTACGTCAGAACCTCTAAGAAATATTTAATAAATCTCACCAGCCTACCTATTAAGTTGTCAGTTATATGTTCGCACATATTTTAGTTACTGGGGACAATTTCTATCTTCTTTCTCACATGGATATTTATGTATTTGTCTATGATGAGTGTGATGGCTGTTATTACATTTTGCTAGTAATGTTTTCAAGTAATGCTAATTTATAATTTGTAAATCTCTTCATAAGCCTGGATATAAATCATGTTTAATGGCAACAGTTCTCTTAATCCTGTTACGTACCTTTCACCAGGAGGATAACCTTTTGAAGAAAAACCTGAAGGGCTTCTGGTTGCCTACCTCTGACTTAAACTCTGACTATTGACTTATATGCGCTATGGTTTTTGCAGCTGTTCTGATTCAAAAGAGAAAAAGCATTGGCAACTCTTTAAGACAAAGATCTCTCTTCTTGCAGGGATTATCCTGCAACGATTCCAGAAAAACAGGCAGCTGCTTTAAGGAGTTGCTGACAGGTGTTATTATGGGCATTATCACCTGCTTCAAATGCAAAGCAATGAAGAACATTATTCTTCACAGCCTACAAGTCTCTTGCATACATTCAAAATTGGTGATGCTTTTTCCTCTGTATGGGGTTTCTTAAAGATTTGTGGCTTGAGCTTTGTTGTCTTTATTTTGTGTGGGTACAAGAAATAGGATTTCTAAGATGAATACACTCTCTGTTTCTGTAGCTACTTCAATGAGAATCAATATCCTGATGAGGCCAAGAGAGAAGAAATTGCAAATGCCTGTAATGCAGTTATTCAAAAGCCAGGTACACAAGGAAGCCAAGAAGGGGATATGCGGCTTCTCTTCTCCTCTCCTCTCCTCACCTCACCTCACCTCTCCTCTTCTCTCCCCTCCCCTCCCCTCCCCTTCCCTTCCCCTCTCCTCTCTCAATATATCTTTTGCCTTTTTTACTTAAACATATATTTTCCTTATTGGTCCTAACTCAATCATCAATGCATGAGGTATCGCAGAAACTGTGTGAATCCTAGACAAAATGAAAAAGAAATACAGTATCCAGATATGCCATCATTATTTTTAAAAATGACCCAATGCATGTTTAATTTCAGTAGTAATCCACCATCCCAGGAATAGTTTCTGTTTGGGCAAAAATTTAAAAAGGAAAGAAGAAAAGAGATTCATGATGTGGGTAGGGAAGGGGGACATCATCTGATTTGGGGGAGTGTTTCAAAACTGAAAAGCCTTTTTGAAAGAGAACTGTGAAGCTCAAAGTATGTCAAGCCATTTTTTAATTAAAAAAACAAAAAAGTGCTGAATTAAGTGTATTAACTTTCTTGTACTTATGCTATAGTGTTCATCTGTTTCTACCTTCAAGGTAGATATATTTTTGACAAGATATATTTTTGGCAGTTGCACTGAGTAATACACAACAGTATAGTCAAAGTGTGCTTTAGAAGGACAAAAAGTAGAGTGGGATTTAAATGCTGCATGTGGTTATGAAAATAAGGTAGGGGGGGCACATGGGTGGGCTTCCCAAATTTTAGCAAGGGGTTCTCTGCCCAGTTGCTGGGTGTGGCCTACTCAGCCTCCTGAACCATGGCGGGAGGGGGGTGTTTTTGCCCTCCCCGGGCTCCGGAGGCTTTCCTCGAGCTTCCAGGAGGGCGAAAACGGCCTCCCCAGGCTCTGGAGGCCCTCTGGAGGCTGGAAACTTCTGGTAGGCCCATTTTTCGTCCTCCCCAAGCCTCTGTGCATGCCCTGCACTTACCTGCATCCAAAACGGGCCTTGTGGGGACTACTGGGAGGGGCAGGGAGAGGCCAGCCAGGAGTGGGATTTGGGGGTTCTCCGAACTGCATAGAATCTTAGCTAGAGGTTCTCCCGAAGAACCCCCAGCAGCCCACCCCTGGGTGATCACTCTGCAGTGCTAAGTTCCTTTTTGGAGGAAGTCAGAACTGCTGCTGTTTATTGAATTTGGTGGGAAACACAAGAAGACTAAGCCCTAAAATCCCTGTCCTCCTCTCCTCAGTCCTAAGTACACTTCCATGTATGATGTGGTTATACTCCCTTTGTGGCCCTCGGGTCCAAAAACTATTAAAAGGGTTTTTAGGTTTGGGTTTTATTTTTTTATTTTATTTTTATTTAGAAAATAACCTCTCATATGGTTTGGGAAAACCACCTCCATGGACTTTTCTAGCTCTGATATTCTAGTCTAAATTCTGTCCTGGAGTTTCTTAAAGCAAGTATAACCAACATGGTTTTTTTAAAATTTTGAACAGGAAAGAAGCTGTCAGATCTGGAGCGAGTTACCTCCCTCAAAGTGTACAATTGGTTTGCCAATAGAAGGAAGGAAATCAAGCGGCGAGCCAATATTGGTAATGTATCAGACAGCCTTGAAGAACTGCTGAAGAAAGATGGAACATGATTGACTTTTCTTAACAGGAAAACAGAGCCTTGATAATATTTTCAAAGTAAAAGCTTGACAACATGGTCAAAACAAATCTTCTCTCTTCCTTTGTTGTTACTGAACAGTTCATCAATGTTAACATGTTGTCAAAAAAGCATTGGTATATGTGTATAATAGCATCTGTAAGTTTCCTTAGGTCAGGGAATTTCATCATGCCTTTCAGAAAAACCTAGAGATTTCCAGTTTTGGTGGAAACTTCTCTGCATTTGCTCTGATGAAAAGATCAACGGATGAAATATATTTAGTCCACCACTGTGATTACCTGGGAATATTAGGCCATACAGTAATGAATTTTAATATACTTAAGGTTGCAATAAGGCCCAATAGAATAGTAAGTGCTACATATGAACCCTAAAACATACCTCAAAATGTTCTACAATGTACCACATTGCTTGGGACCAACAATTTGCTGTGAAGAGCTTTCCTTGCAGTCGGATTATTTTGAAAAATCTGCCTTATCTCTCCCAGTGTCCTCAAAGTGAAGCAGAGGCTGTTCAAATTATTGAACAAGTTTGTACGACACATACATCTTTATAAAGCTTGTCTTAAGCCTGCTGTCCAAATCTATTATAGGCCAGGAGTAACTAAAATGTTCAACCTAACTATGATCTGAAATTGTGGTTTGCGTTTTGATGCCTTGGCTGTAGCTTCATGTTCCTTGCAAAGGTAGCAGAGGCAGGTGAGCAATGAATGCTCCCCATTATACAATATATCTCTAGACATAGAGTTGGCTGGCAGGAGTAGCAGCATTTTTGTTCCTCCCACCTTAACTGTTATTCCCTGCAGATATTTAGTGAATTGGTAAAATTGGACTGAGGAAGGATTAGTGATAACCATGTGCCCGGTGAAGCAGCCATGTGCCTATTTTGGATTGCTGTCGCTGGTTAAAAAAGTTTAAACTAGGGAGTGATGACTATAACAACAACTGGGTAGGAAAAAAGCTTTGCATAATTGTTTGCTGAGTTCCCCCTTGGGTATGTCTCTGACAGCTGATTACTCTTGACCACAGACTAATGTGTTTTCTGATTAAGCCCTTCTGATGCCATGAACAGGGGCATGTTCCCATCTCTGTCCCCCAATTTAGTTTTCCTTCGCATCTTTCTCCCTCTTTATCATCTCACCACAGTCACAAATATAATACCATACAGCACCTAACATTCTGCTAGAGAAAATAAATATTTAAAGAAACATCCTCACTTTAATTAGCATTTCTTGTATACTGATAAATAATACAGGTATCCGGTACTTTCCAGAGTTTGAAATGCTTTGGATATAGACTAGTAAATAACACATTACAATTTTCTAACATATTATGCAGAAAAGGAGCTTTAAATTGTGCCTATCTATCATCTAAAATATTTAACATATAAATGTGCAATTAATTACATAAATTAATTTCTTTTTGCTTTGAAATTTAATTTGTGAATCCTTTCGGAGAAAAACCTCAAGTATAAATCTTCCCCCAGATTTCTGAACTTTTTAAATAATTTAAGAGTTCAGGTTCTTCCAGTGAAGTTGATTGATAGCAGATTCAAGAGAGAACAAACAAGAAAAAGCAAACTTTTGACAGTTTTACACAATACAGTGGTTGCCCCACAATTAAATGATTTTTCATAGGGCACGAAACCAAATGACAGAGCAGAAGAGTTTTTATTGGCTGTTGGCTGGGATGTGATTTGCAATCTGCAGTTTTAGATGCAATGTATTTTGAAATGCCAGTTGCTGAAGGTTACAACCACCAGAGAAAAGCTGTGCCCTTCAAGTCCTGCTTGTGGACTTCCTGGAGGCATCTCTCTGGCCATTGTTGGAACTAGAATGCTGAACTAGATGGACCTTTGAGCTGATCCATGCCGGGAACTTCTTATGTTCTTATACTTCCTTAGGATAAGAGAGCAAGATGGTGTCTGGGGTGGGGGTGGGGAACAACACCAAAAGAAAGCTGACAGATTTTGTCCATTATCATGAGAAAGCCAAACACCAAACAGTAGTGTTATGGATAGCAGACCGATAAAGTAGCATGAATCTGAGATGCTTTGCAATCTCACAAAAAATAATGAAGAATCTTGTTATGTTTGTATAACTTGTGAGTTGCAACCTGGTATATTTCTATTGCAAGGGACAGGCATTGCAAGCTCTGCAGCCAAGGGATTGGTGCCAGCTAGAAATCCAGTTGGGGTTTTAAAATATTTTCAAAGGCAGATGACCCTGGATATAAACTGATTTTTTTTCTTTTAAATTGGCATTTATACTCCTCCAACCAAATTAATTTTCATTTTTTAACAGTGCAACAACATGCACAAAAGGGGCTTGCACCATGTTGAAATGAAGATGAAAAGGGGACTTCACTTAGGGTGTGGGTTTATTGTAAGAACCATCAAGCCAGAATTAAAACTGTAGAAAAGGGATAGTCACAATCACTACATAGAAAATAAGAGCGAGCGAGCAAGTGAGCGAGAGAGATGTTGCTTTATTCCTTTGATTATGGTTTCATTAATCAAATGTGCATTTAGTCCCTTTTCTTAAGGGCCTCCTAAATGCAAGCTTATTTGGTAGGACGAGTTCTGTGTGTGACCTGATTCGACAGGAGTGTTGGAAGATAATCCAAATCATGATGCCAGTTGCAGAATGCAGCTGTTGAGAATTGCTGTTTTGATTTAGAAGGAAGTTTGATTTAGAAGTTTCCAGTCCTTATGAATCCATAAATAATATTTGCTAAATTCTCTAAATTTAAAGAGGCAGTCAAGATACTTTAGTATCTTGTTAAAAAGACAGTTGCCTCTCCCTCAGTATTAGTAAGACGACAGGGAATTGTATAAAATCAGAATTTATCCAAGCCTGCATCAGAAATTCTGCAAATGGAGTAAATCTTTGTAGCCTTTGGCAGAATTTGGCTTGCAGAATTATTATTTTCTTATAGCTGAATTTAAACTTAAAAAAAAGAAGACGTTCTGAGTATTTCTTTGAGGTTCTTACAAGAAACAAGATGCCCCACTTGTGAAGATTCTCGTTTTTCATCTTCATCCTTATTGGTAACCCTGCAGCAGATAATTCAGGGATCAATTTGCTTTTTTCGAAGAAGCAGCAATCCTGGAGAGTCATGGGATAGATGTACAAAGCCCCGGAGGCCACTCCAACAGTGACGACGTAGACGGAAATGACTATTCAGAGCAGGTAAGTATGTGAGCTAAGTCAGGGGGCTCCAATATGGAGAGTCCCCCTGTAGGCTGCTCTTCCTCCTCTGGGTTTGGGGGCGGAATGTGGAGTGGTGGGGGTCTTTCATCCTTCAGCCTCCTAAGATTATGTGGCCTTTTATCCTGCTGTGCAATGGGGGAAGGCAGAAAAACGCAGCATTCCTCCCCCCTCCCCCATGGACCAGCCTTCACCCACATGGATTTATTGTCATACAACAGGAGTCTTGGCAAGTACGCAATGGGGAGGAGGAGGGAAGATGTACAGAGGGAGGCAGAGAAGCAGAGAAGTTAGAAGAAGACAGGAGGATCTGCTCAAAACAAGCAAGTTGACGCTCTGTTCACACATATTTGCCAAATGCAGGGGCATGATGAATCCCCCCAATTTGCACCACCTTGCATAGTAAACACCACCGTGTCTGTTTCTCTCCTGTGCCCCTGTAACCAGAGCTGTGTGCATCCCCAGAAATCCTTTTTGAAACTGTTTTAAGCATGCACCCTTTTTGTCCTTACCATTCTGGACTGAGGGCATATGCGCAATTGCGCATGGTCAATTTAGTAATACTGTTCCCCGAACAGCCCATGAAGGAACAGCAGGATGAGGCAAGCATCTCTCATCCAATTTGACGAATCCTCTTTCCTTTTCTAACAACTATTATCTTCTGCCTTCTGATGTCATTGTTTATGTAACCTTGATGTCCATGTCATGCCCACTGTGTACTCCTTGCAAAAAAAAAATTACAATTCAATTTTGGAAAGAAAATAGTTAACGATTCCTGCCAAATAAAAGCAATTCCACTTGCTTAAGTTTCAGTGTAAATTTGCTGAATTACACATTTGATGTGGAACACACAGCCCTGCTTATACCATAACGATCTACGAGTTTTACTCTCTCCTTACCCACCCCTTTCCCCCAGTGCAATGAATGCGTAGCTGCATGCTCCTCTTCCCAAAATTGAATGCATTGATGTAAATTGATAATACGGCAGCTCAATTCCAACCAAGAATATTCCATCTAACCTCCTGATGCCACCGTGTTTACCTTTTGAAGGCAGGGTAAAGCTTTCTTCATAATTTGTCCCTGCTCTTGAGATATTTTTTTTAAAAAAAATGCTTTTATTCTTAGGAACATAGGAAGTGCCTTTCACCACTGGTCCATCTAGCACAGTGTTGTTGAAGTACTGGTTTACAGTGATTTTCTAGATCTCACTTATTGGAGTTTCCCCTAACCATTTCAGGAGATGCTAAGGAAGGCACCTTTGGCATGGAAAGCAGGTGTTCTGCCTCTGAGCTATAGGGCCTGTGCATTCTTGATAGGCTATAGCTATCATCTAGTCTTCATATTTTATTATGTTTCTTTTCCCCCCTCTTTCCCCCATACTTTCTGTTAGTTTATGTCGTATTTTTAAAACTACCCTTGGGTACATTTTGGTAATATAAATCTAAGAAATGAAATTAAAAATACTTTTCTTTTTAATTTCGAAAGGAAACTGATTGCTAAAGAGAAAAATAAGAGGATATTAATACAAAAAGAAGCTCTCTCACAGAAGAGACGCTTCGGCTACATTTCATGTTTGAGTTAGACACATGTAGATCTTGGACTGATCATTAAGACAAATAGAACCGTTGGACAATGGGGCCAATTATTTAGAATTGTGATAATCCCACTGGTCTTCCATTGTTGAGAATCTTCCAGTTTTGTGGTTCCTGTATTAATTAGGTTGGATCAGATGGCATTATTGTGATCAATGTGTTTTTAATGGAAATGATATATTTTGTACATGAATCATACTTTTTTGAATGTTTTTAGTGGGAATATGGAAAATAAAAACAGATAAAATGTAAGCCTTTAACCTGTATGTGTAATGAAAGCAGCTAGGAACAAATTAGTCCCCTATGGCAGTGGTCTCCAACCTTGGCAACTTTAAGACTTGTGGACTTCAACTCCCAGAGTTCCTCAGCCAGCTTTGCTGGCTGAGGAACTCTGGGAGTTGAAGTCCACAGGTCTTAAAGTTGCCAAGGTTGGAGACCACTGACTTAGAGCTTTGCTGGCTGAGGAACTCTGGGAGTTGAAGTCCACAGGTCTTAAAGTTGCCAAGGTTGGAGACCACTGCCCTATGGTAATCCAGCTTCTTTGTCTGTAATTTTTCTGTAGTCAAACTCTCACTCAGATAATCAGATTGACAGAACTTTAATCTTGTTAACTGTGCCAAATATTGGGCAGCCATTGGCTGAGAATGTTCCAGTTCTGGATTTATTGTTTGTAGCAGGGTATAAGTTCAATAGTTTGGTAAGGCCATATCCAACTCTCTCTTTCTCTACTCTTTGTGTAAACCTAATTAAGACTACAAGCAGAAATCAATTGTTTTGTTGAGCTTCCACAGTTTTTTATTGTTCCTGCAGGAACTCATGTTACACAGCCTAGTAATTTATTCTGGTTCTAGTAACCCGATGACCACATTTCTTTTGTTAGTTAGTCTTGATCATGATGAGGAAGCATTATTTTTCCTCCTCATTTAACCAGACACATGCAGATTAAAATTACAAATCCTGCTGAATCCAATGGATTGCTGGATAGAACAAACAATTGTCTCCGATGTCCTCTCATAGGATTGAACAAGAGGGGCAGAGCCCACACGAAAAAGGGAAATATCAGTGGTTAAATTCTATCAAATATTTGCTTGTAGCATTTTAACCGGAAAAAAAAAATGAAACGGGTGGGAGGATAGATGGATAAATTGGGGTCAATTTTTTCTTCTAAAATCATGTTCTTTTCTTGAGGGTTTTGGAATAGTATGATGGGAGATAATATTCTATAAATCTCAGTAGAGGTAATGACTACTTCTTTAAACTTTTGATTGACATCAGTGTGTATTGGAGAGAGCATATATAAACCTTTTAAAACTATTGCACTTACTTCCCAAACCATCCCGGTTTTTAAATCAACATGTTTAAGCACTGGTCTGTTTAGATTTCTCAAACTTCAGCTTTCTTAGGTTCAAAATAGAGAAGACAATAATGATCACAGAATCTAATTATGCTCAGGTTTGAAGACCATTTAGAAATTTCAGCTGATACAGTATATTATTTGAGGGGAAATGACCAAAACATGTAACATCTCTTCTATACCAGTTGAATTTCTGGCTCAAGTTCAACGTATTTTAAAACATAGGTGAGTCAACATTTCAACCGTGGTATTAGCACACATATTCAGAGTCAGAGTAGCAATCTGTGGAGGAAAGGCTTTAAATGTATTTCCCTCCCCATACAAGTAAATCCAGGATTTCTGGTAAAAGTTGCAGCTATCTAATATATTTATCTCCATCCATTACAACTTTATTGCTGATAATAAGGTTCTTTTAACAGTTGGTTTGGCAGCAGCTATGAAAAAGCCCTATGATTTGTCATTTAGGCATGAGTTAACTCTGTGAGTCATCATATGTTGAGAAGCCAGGTGGATGTATTTTAATACAATGAATATGACATTGGGAAAGAATGACAGTGAAGATAAAACCATGGGCACTTAAGGCCTTTGAAAGCTGCCTGCCCATAAACTGCAGGTGGACCATCCACCCAGTGGACTTCTTCCTTCCTACACTAAGCCAACCTAACCTGTTCAGTAGGAAAACATTCCTTAGAGGGTGATATTATAACCAACAAGCTATAGAAAGTCTTTCATCGTGATGTGGAAAATTAACTTTACTCTCATGCTGTGTTTTAAAGAGAATTAAGACATGAGCGCAGCTGCCTTATACATTTTTCTTAATTTATTTGAGATGACACCCGGGTTTTAGATTACATTCATATTTTTTTTAACCAAAAATGCTCTTCAATAATTTCTTTTGAATAGTATTGTGGAATATAGTTTGAGAGTTTGTTTTATAATCATTTGAATGTGTCTATTGTCTTCACAGGCTGATTAGCCTTTAAGACTATATATATACGGTACATTCTTAAAATATATTACTTGAGTCAAGCCATTTGCTACTGAACATGTGCTGGACTGTTCAATTTTTCTGTCCAGATTTTATTCTCTATGGTTTTTTTAGAAACATAAAAAAAATTACAAATGAATACAGGATAGTGTATTGTGCAGTTGCTATAATTAATGTAAGGTAGATTAATAGCTGTAACATTTTAATTCTATTATGTGAATTACAATATTCAAAAACACAGAACTAGACCATTGATCCCTCTAGCTCGGTATTATCAACACCTGCTTGCACCAGTTAATTTTTCAGAGTTTCAGACTTTTTTTAAAAAAAATCTTACATGTGTTTTTCCACTGGGCTCTTATGCCTTCATATATACTTAGCTACTACAAATGTGAGGAACGAATCATAGATTTTTAAACGAGAAGATGCTTCCTTAAATATTTATTAAAATATTATTTATACATTAATTAGAATTTTTATAATAGTAGAATCATGCTTGGAAAAGTGTCTGTGTAAAATTAACATTGTTTGAATTAGGACAGGCAACTTTGTGAGGGCTAAGAAACACGTTTTACTTTGTATGGAAGCTGTCTCTAAGAAAATGTGTGGAGCTGAGAAAAAACTGAATTGTTTAAAAAACCTTTTTAAAAACACACCCTTTAAAGATAATAAATATAAACTACTAAGTTTGTACTAGTGTTAACATTTGCTACCCAGTTGTGCAATAAAATCTACAATCAAATTTCAGTGGCAAACTATTCAATAGGTTTGGAAACCATTTGAAAAATTAAAAAGCCTGCATGCGGCTGGAGGATATTTAGTATATTGCCCTCCTATTTTCAAAGAATCAGCACTCCAAGGAATTTCATTTCATATTGCATAGGGAATTCCAGAACATTTAAATAGGAAATTGGAGGTGCAGGTGTTTATACTATGGGCATCTGGAGCCATGCTGATCAAGTGGCATAATTGGTTTTAATGGATGAATACCACATGGGTCAGCTTAAAGATTATCCTTTTTTTTCTCTTTCTACACCTTGTATTATCTAAGGAAAACATTGCTGCCAAAATGAAGATGAGAGAAAACTAGTGTACTGTGTGTGTGTGTAGAGGAAAACAGATAGCTGCAAAGAATGTAATCAACGAGAGAAAGAAACGGCTTAGATTAAAAAGGCAGAGAAGATGTTATTTTGATGGAAGTAAAGAACTGTTTTGGCAGAGACCAAAAAGGGCCACAAAAAGAGTTTCCAGTAGACAGAATGGAATTAAAAATAAAGTGATGAAAGTTTAGGATGAAACTGAAGTGAGGGAACGCTAGAAAGAGTAATCTAAAGATTTGTGTGGAAATGGTTATAATACAGTATGTCAAAGAGTTGGGGGGGGGGGCAGGTATTCCTGGAAAGGAAGGGCAAGGAACAGTGAGCCAGTTTGTTCTAGTGGTTAAGGTAGCAGACTAGAAACCTGGAGACTGTGAGTTCAAGTCCTGCTTTAGCCATGAAAACCAGCTGAGTGACTTTGGGCCAGTCATTCTCTCTGTGCCCAACCCACCTCACAGGGTTTTTGTTGTTGGGGGAAGTAGGAGGAGGAAGGAGTTTTAGATCCCTTGAGTTATTTGTAAAAATAATAGACGCAGGATACAAATAAATAAATAAAATGGGAGTGGATGACAAGAGTCTAAACTCCCAGTAGAGCCACCCAAGGTGTGAAAATCATCTCAGCTGCCCAGCTACAGCAAACAGGCACCTACATCACGTAGCCGTGATAGAGCAATTTCATACTGCATGGGAAAAGACGGTGATCAACGGCCCCCTAAACCACATGGGTAGACCAGATAAAGGGATTGCTGATATTGATATACCTCATTATTGGATGATGGACATTCAGGTGTTACTCAATACGTAGCTGGACAGATTTGTGATTTGGGTGCAATTTGTTGGATATGAATGCAAGTGGAAGAATGCAGTTATTATTTCTATATGAAGAAAAAATATAGCAACTATAGAGAGATGGGAAGGTACAGTATATCACACACATCTGACAGAAAAGAGCAGGAGGTGGGATGGTAATTGAAGTGCTTTTGCTTCACCCCTAGCAAGGGCCATGCCGACCAAGTGTTTGTCCTTGTGTTCCCAACTGGTCATTGAGAAGTGGACAAATATGAGGGGAAAAAATCTTCATTAACTTAGAGGAGGCCTATGGTAATGTAAAAAAGCTTAAGTTTAATAAAATTGTGACAGGTTCATCCATTCCTGGGATACACTGCTCATAATCACTTCCTGGTTGGACTATGAGATTGTGCTCTGTCCTTGAAAAGTATTTGGAAGCTTGAGCTGGTTCAGGAGGTAGCGGCACACATCGTGTTGAGTGCAATGAGGTAACAAGGTAGACAGACTAAGAAATGAATGCCATGTAGGTCAATACTTCTTTCACTGTAGCAGCTGTTGTAACAGAATTTTGCAAGACTGAATGTGCTTCTCCCTCTCTTTCTTTATCTCTGTGCATTACAGGCTTGCCTGAAGATATTTTCTCAAATTGCTTTCATGACCCAGACTCAGTTCCCTGTTATCTGACTGCTCCTTCATAGTGGCTTTTCCTCTTGATCTTCTAGAGCAGGGGTATCAAACCCAATAGCATCGTGGGCCATATTGTGATGTATCAGGATGTTTTTGCCTTTGTGGAGTTGGGCCTGCGTGGGCCATATCTGGCCTGCGGGCCATCAGTTTGACAGGCCTATTCTAGACCCTTTTGTCTTATAGGACTCAGAAGTCTGTCCTTTTCAGTTGCGGTGCCTGCCCTGTGGCACAGTTTAACCCACCAGCACACCATAGAGTGCCCAAAACTCTGTGTATTGTCACATTCTGGACCAGATACAATTTCCAAATGGTCTTCAAAGGCAGCCCTATGAAAACCATGTTGTAGTAATCCAACAGGGAAGTGACCAGAGCATAACTGACTATGCGCAAGGCTTCTTGGTCCCAGAATGGGCATCACTGGTACAAAAGATGGGTCTGTGCAAAGAGTCCCCCCCCAGCCACAAGTGCCATCTGCTTCTCAACATCATTCAAACCCCTCTGCTTCCAGCAGGAAACCTTTCAACAGGGTTGGGCTACCAGTCTCATAACTTTCCTCTGATGAATGTTAGTCTACAGCAAGGCTGTCAAACTCCTGGCCCTTGGGCCGAATGCATCATATGCTGGCCACGCCCCCACCCTATTTAGGGAAGGGGGAGAAGTCCTGATATGTCATGTGATGCCGCCATGACTACATGAGTTTGACACCCTTGGTCTACAGCATTCATTCCTAGCCAATATATCTGGAGTTGGAAAAAGAAGTTATTTAACTCTATAAGAAAATAACTTTTGTATCTTCTTTTTACTTGGGCTTATGTATTACAAACAGGTCATCACATGAGCCCATGCTTGATAACAAAATTAGGGTTTGATTCTTCAGTAAAAAGGTGTTTAGAGGGATTCACTATAGCCTCCAAGGTATACAGATATAACAAGGTACACAGTTTGTTCTCATTTTCCTCTTGAGAAACAATAAAAGATAATTCCCCATATCTTCTTAATTTTATTTTGTTTTGATTTGTAAACATCCTATGTTGAGTAGCATCCTAGGGTTAGGTAGCAATAAATATATATTTCTTAATAATGTAAACTAAAAAGAACATCTAGAAATTCTTCTCAGAATTCTATTTAGTTCTTCCTGTTTTCTCTTGTAACGTTTGTTGCAGGTTAACAAGGGGCAGGAGAAATGGGGAGTGGGGTGAAATAGAAGGGATTGCAAGTGGAAGTTGTTTTCTGGACCTTCATAAAACCCAGGGAAAGTGTTTGGACTCTTAAGTACTGTATTTTTTGGTGTATAAGATGCACTGGCGCATCAAAATTTTAAGAGGAAAATTTAAACATTTTTTTTTGCACTCTGCAAACCTCTCCAAAACAGCCCGTTTTTCACAAAAAGGGGCCTGTTTCCCCCCCCAAAAAGGCACGAATAGCCTTTAGGGGGCTTGCAGAGTGTTCCAGAGGGGTGGCCCCCCAAAAAACAAGCAAAAATAGTCCTTCTTTTAGCAAAAACAGGCCCATTTTTGTCAAAAAAAATGCATGCATAGCCTTTAGGAGGCTTATAAAGTGCTACGGCCCGTTTTTCACTCCTTTTTGCCTTCCCCAGCCCCCAGGAGCTCTCTGAAAGCCTTCTAAAGGCTCTGCACGGCCATTTTGGTGAAGGGGCGGGGTTTCGGGAGGCAAAAAATGCCGTGTTTAGTGTATAAGACGCACCCAGATTTTCAGCCTCTTTTTTGAGGGAAAAAGGTGCATCATATACTCCAAAAATACGGTAATAAAAATGGTGTAGAAGCAGCCAAAGGAACATACCCAAGTTTGTTAGATCCTTTCACCCACCCCATTTTTCCCCTCTCTTCTCATATATGAAAACATAAATAGATATGTCTATGGAGATTCTCAGTCATCCAGGTCACCGTTGTCCCAAAGGTGCTTTTTCAAGAGGCAACTGGATTTTCTGGTTTTTCTTTGAAGATGTTTCACTTCTCATCCAAGAAACTACTTTAGCTCTGACTGGATGGTGGGGAATGGATGGATATATACAGCTGCAAGGAGTATAAATCCTTCCATTCCCCACCACCCAGTCAGAGCTGAAGAAGCTTCTTGGATGAGAAGTGAAACATCTTCAAAGAAAAACCAGAAAGTACAGTTGCTTCTTGAAAAGGCACCTTTGGGACATAAACAAATAACTTCTGCTGCTAAGACACTGTTTTCTCTAATTGAAAAAGCCCCCACTCGTCAATGAATTTCTATAAATACACAGTCGTATTCACTTGTCTCATAGACCAGTGGTCTCCAACCTTGGCAACTTTAAGACTTGTGGACTTCAACTCCCAGAGTTCCTCAGCCAGCAAAGCTCAATTCTGGGAGTTGAAGTCCACAGGTCTTAAAGTTGCCAAGATTGGAGACCACTGTCATAGAAACTTGTCAAAACGGACTTGCATCTCTTACTTTTTATTTGGTGCAATAGGTTAGCGGTGGGACAAGGTTGTGGTTCTACATTTATACAGATCTGGAGTTCTTGCAGAATCTGTTTCCAAGCACCCACTTCAAATCATCTCACTTGCTCCCTGACTCTCCTTTCACTTTTCAACTTTAATAGACAAACAAACAAAAATTGTTACTGTAAGGTCAGCTAGCGTTGATGGCCATCCCTATTATTTGAATTGTGGAAATGGCACAGTTCATTTAGTCTTCATACCATTGCCCCATTTTTCAAGTTTAGGCAGAATTCCCCAAGGTTTTCTCCCGGTGGTTAGTAGGTTGGTTCATGCCTCATAATAATAATAATAATAACTTGAGGCTTGGAAGCTGCCTTGGGCGCCTTTCCTTTTTTCATTTTCATCCGTCCAGTATGAGGTTTTCTCCAAATACCCTCTATCCTCCTCCCCATTTTCCCTTCAGCCAATGCCTGTTCAGCATGTTGATACGTTCTTTTAAAATTGATTTATCCCCATTTCTCCAGCCCATTGAATGAAAACATTGGACTGTTTATAAGACGTATTTTAAAACTGGATGAAATTATTGTTGGAAGATGCTAATGACACTTGTTCCTCCCCCTCCCTCTTCATTCCTTTCTCCTTCTCCGCTCATGTAGGATGACAACACTAGCCATAGCGACCACCAAGACCCTATCTCACTAGCCGTGGAGATGGCAGCGGTAAATCACACCATTCTGGCGTTGGCCCGGCAAGGAACCAGCGAGATCAAAACAGAGGCCCTGGATGATGACTGATGACGCGATGGAGGGGGAGGGCTCCCAGATGAGAAAGTAACTTAGTTTTAGACGTAGCACCTTAGCAGCCTTTTTCCTGGTCCCTAATATGTGTCCTTCTTTACAATATAACTTTGCAGTCTCTTGTACGTCAAGTTTGCCGTTTAGGGTCTTGTCCTGTGAAGATGGCATGGTGCCCTCTGACTCTGCATATAAACTCTCAGTATTAATTCCCAGTCAGATAATTAACCAAGCCGACTGACCTCCCTCTCCCAGTGCTCCCATCCCTCAGCTAGATGAAAACCTTTGCTGCTCTGTCTTTAGCATTCCATGAACGTGCTTCCAGGTGTCGTAGGCAGCCCTCGATTCCAAGCCTTAGGCTAAATCTGTAGAAGAAGAAAAAAACCCGTACAAACTTGGATTATCCTTCAGACTTCCTGGTGTTAACACTTTTTTTAATTTCCTCTTGTTATTGTTACAAAACCAAAAGGAGACAATGGAGATTCAGTGGTTTAGAGGAAAATGGGTTGAGAGGTTGGACAGAGAACAGGGTAATGATGAATCTCAGATCTGTTGTGAACGTCTTGTTACCAGGTGCCAATAAGGTGGGCCTCCCTTGGCAGTGCAGCAATATCCTCTTTACTGCTTTTCCATAGGATGAGTACCCTGGCTGGCTGGGAAGGAGAAGGGGAAAGTCCACCAGCTTCTTTTGATTGATGTTTGCTGCTGACGTGGTCAGCATAAACTTCCTCTTTTCTTTGCAAATTGTGTTATGGGAGGAACGAAGCATTTCCCGCCTCCCTTCAATTCTTAAGTATCCCCAGTTAGGCCAAAGTTTCCATCTATAGAAGAAGCTGTGTCTCTGAATGAGACCCACTGTGGCTGTGTTCCTTCCAATAAGTGGTCAATAAGGCTGAGGGTGGCTAAGGAATGATGTAGGCGTGATTGGATCATTCACAATTCTTTTATCAGTTTAGTCATAAGTGAGCCCCGACAAGTTCATTAACGTTTAAACCCACACAATGCAATTATATTCTCAGACAGCCCTATGAAAAATTCCTACTCTTGGAAAAGACATGATTTATATATGAAGATAGGATGAGCATTGATGGAAGTGAATAAGTTATTTTTACACACACACACACACACACACACACACACACACACACACACTGATGAAACATGTGAAGTAGCTCTCCAGTTCAGACTATAATCAGAAGTTGCAGATAACTTGGGTTGAAAAGTTGGTAATCGCTCACTTCCTTACTCCAAAGTATGGTGCACTCTAGGGAAGAAGTAACTCCTACTTATCCCTCCTCACTAGTTACAGAAAATATGCATACATGTAAATTTTCATTATTTGCATAGTAGAGAGTGCAGTGATCCCTATCTATTGTCTGGTGTTGTCTCTCCAAGATAGCACATCATGATGCTTCTTATTTCTCTAAACTAGCCATGCATTCTTTGTCTCTCTTTGTTCTGTTCTGTTCTTCAGCGGCTGGAAAGCTGTACCTGTCTGAGCAGGTTAACTAATTCTTGGAAGCCATATTTCAGCAGGAACTAGATGTTGCCACGAGCCAAGGATTTAGTGGCTCTCGTGCTCCTGGGAAAAAGGATTATTTTTTTACTTTCCTATCGTTAGGGTAATCTGAGATTGGATTCAGATATTGGCTATCTAGGAAATTAGAATTAGGGATTACATACTGATGGAATGTGAGATGAATTTACTTCTATATAGCAAAAAGAAAAATTAATCAAATTTGAGGAGGGTTTTTTTTGGTTCGTTTGTCTTGATCATATGTAGCACTTTGGTATTTTTTTCCTTATCTAAATATATATATATATATTTGTATTTTGAGCATTTTTAAAAGAATAAATATCATTGGATAAATCAACAATAACATGCTATAAGCTCATGTTACAGTCATCCAATAATAAACCTTGAACATTTTCCATGAGGAACATCTCTGATGAAATGGACCTGGCCGAATAACACCAGGTGATTCTCCTGAGCAAGTTGTTTTGAAATGAAGGAAGCGGGGATGTGATTGAAAAGCATTCCCAAGACGTATCTTTAGCATGTGGTTTTTCTCTTTCTTGTGCTCTTTTCACCTTCCCCTTATTTCAATGTTCACAGAAATTCTTCTCCATTCATTGTGCCCTTTGAGTTGCCTGTGCATTGGTGAACAACTAGTATACTTCAGAATGAAACTGACACATGGACAGTCCCATGATATAGTCCCTGCTGGGGCCATGGCTCCTAATGTTTGGAAATGTGCTTTGTCTGTGGCCTTGTTCCCACCTGTGCTTTGCCAAGGCAGATGATAGAAATTTATAGAGGAATGGCCAAAGTCTTCAGAATGTTGGAATACGTCATGCTGTTCCTGAAATTTACAGGCCCTTTGCTCATTTTGGTATGGGCAATTGGGTGGGCAGTTGTGCCATTTTCTAGTCTAGTACTTTATTTGTAGTCATGGTTTCTCTCTTTCTTTGCGTATATCTTGAATTCTCTCAGAAGTCATTAAAGAAGTCATAAAGAGGGAGTATCTGCCAAGATGCTGTTGCTTCATGTAGTATGGTACCTACTAACTCCAGTAACTGCATAGATAGGACTTAGCTATATAATTACTAGGCAGAAATTTTGAAAATAGATTGATATGAATACATTTTGAAAAAGTGATTGGCCATAAGGAAAAATGTAATGCCATCTTTTCAAGGGGCTGGAGCAGCTCTCTACTATTTGACTTCTGCTTTCTTATGCTGGCCAGACTATCTAGATAGTGTGACTTACTCATCGGCTCTGAAGTAAAGAAATATCATTTCCATCAAGTGATCTTTCTGAGCATAATCACTAAGGCTGAACTGGAACCCTTCTACATATGTCCTCTATTTCCCTCAGTGGATTGAGGGCAGGGGCTAGTTACAACCATGTTTCCCTGAAAATAAGACTGGGTCTTATATTAATTTTTGCTGCCAAAAACTCATTAGGGCTTATTTTCTAGTTAAGTGTCATTTTGGGGGAAATACGGTACTACCGTGTTCCTCAGAAAATAAGACCAAGTCTTATTTTCTTTTAGACTTGAAAATAAGCACTTGGGGTTATTTTTGAGGCGGTCTGACTTTTTTTGAGCTACAGCAGGCCAGACTCGGTGAGCTGGACACGCCATGGATGCACCGTCGCCTCCATTCCAAACCTTCAGCATTCAGAATGGAGGCATTTTGGTGAACAGGAGGAAAATGGGGAGGGGGATATTCCTGCCTGCCATCCTTCCCTGAAGTCTGTGCTGGGCTTGAGGAATGGATGACAGGCAGGAAAATCCCTCTCCCCATTTTCCTCCTGTTGACCAAAAAGCCTCCTCCAAGCCTCCCAAAAAGAGGGAAATAGCAAAGCAGCCGGCCACAAAGCTGCTGGCTTCGGGGAAGCGGTGCAACAAGCAGAAGTGCTGCGCCAAGAAAGAGAAAGGCAAAAGCTGCCCCAAGGGGCCAGTGGGCTGCAATTGCAGCCAGACAGTCGTCCTCTCCCCACCGTCACAGGCCACGCCTTATTTTCAGGGTAGGAGTAATATTAGGCCCACCCCCAAAAAATTAGGGTTGGGCTTATTATTGGGGTGAGTTGTGTTTTCAGAGGAACACGGTAAATGCATCCGTCTGGCTGACTATCTTAACGGGCTTATTTTGGGGTAGGGCTTATATTACAAGCATCCTGAAAAATCATGCTTAGGGCTTATTTTCCAGTTGGGGGGTCTTATTTTGGGAAAAATGTTGTATCTCCATCACACACTTTCTCCATCAGTATCCTTCATGATGACTTCTCATCCCAGCCATTTGATTCCAATTAAAATATTGGCGCTTTGCTGGTATTTTGCTATTCCAGCTTGCATATTTCATTGGCTACATTATATATAGTTTTTTTAAAAAAAAATCATGTGTTGATCACGAAAGCAGAAGCAAATTGTTGTCGTCTGTCTTGTTTGTCTCTTGAGAGCAAGTAAATTCCATGAGGAGTTTTGACCTTAGACTCAGGGAAAAATGTAAGAGTTGTTTGGTAGATGCAGAGAGAATTTCTTTTTGTGACATTTGCAAGCAAATGTGTCTCTCCGTGGCAGGTAACAAAGAAGTGAAACAACTTTGTTTTCTGGGCTAAATGACCTGGTAAAATATACACTATATTGCCAAAAGTATTCACTCACCCATCCACATAATCGGAAGCAGTTGTGAGCGAATACTTTTGGCAATATAGTATAGCTACTGCAACAGAATTTTATCTTCTCATTGCTATAATGGTACTATCCTAAACTGAGAAGCATTGATGAAATGAAGCCATCATAGTTTTTTGCCACTGAGCTTCCCGTTACTGTTTTGGCACTGCTGTTCACTGAGGTTTTATCCTTTCTTTGTATGTAGTTTTAGCAGGACACTATCAGCCAGTTCAGTATGAACAGAAATAGCAGGATTCTTGAATATTAAGCCATCCATTGCAAATTACATCATTCATTTTTAGTCAGTCTCTCCTATTAACTTGTAGCCTTTCCCTGCTTATCTGGTAGTACAGTGCCCTGAAAGGGCCATAATTCTTCATAGCTTGGCCTGAAGCACTTTTCAAGTATGGTGAACAGTTATTGGATTCAGCCCCTTTTATATATATATTGCAGATACAAAATAAGTAACAGGAAGCAATGAACAAGCTTTCAGTATGCTGGTCAAACTTGTTAAAACATTAGGACAATAGGTAGCCTACAATTATCTTAATTCAAGAAGAATTGTGCACGTGTTAAGAGATCTTGAATCTTTAAAAAGAGGATCTCAGCAAGAAATGTATCATGAAAGACCCACTTTGATAAGATAAAAGCTTTGTTCAAAGGACAAAAAACATTTGGATCCAAGTTTGTCAAGTTACAAGTTCTTACCACGCTTTAATGTTCTTTCATTTTATCTGAATTCAGGGGCTAAGTTTCTTGTTACTAACAATTAAACTGGGATTGGTTTTTCCTCCTCTCCTCTGTTGGGATCTTCTGTTGCTTTGGATGTTCAGAACCCCCAAACTGATTTTTTACCCCTTGCCTTTCCAAAATGCCTTTCCAAGATGAGGTCTCTGACAAAAGCTTTTATCTGTGCTTTGTATATAGCATTCTGATCTTTCAACACAATCCATTAGGTGTCTGACCTACCTTATGAATAGTTGAGGAATTGGGGATACTAATAGAATAGAATATCTTACTTGCTCCATGAGCAAGTGTGGTTTGTGAATCATCTTAAGCAGTTTGATCTATAAACATCCCTTAATTGTGTCTGAATTCTCAGTTTGCTGCCTGCCTACAATCTGAATTATATTTTCTGAATAACTGATGAATGGTGTAGCCTTGGGATATTTTCAATACTACAGAATTGCCTGGTTCTCTGAAATCACTATAATAGTGCTGCTACTGGAGGACGAGTTCTTAATTCTTGAGCGTCCACGATGTCCAGTTCTACCTTCTATAGTCTTAGATTTAGAGACAGTGCTTTGAGATTGGCTTCAGACTCGAATGATGTAATGTTTGAGATATGGTTTTGATATACTAGCCGTCTACAATATGATGCTGCCCCCAAATTTGAAGACTACAATCCCATGATTTCCAGTCAGAATCCTAACTGTGAACCTTGGAATTTGTGAATCAAGACACATGAAGAGAGCTCTAATTGAGCAACAACATTCTACATCACCTGCCCTCCTCCCCATTTCATATTGTGCATCCTGCACCTGTTTATATTATAAATGTTGCTTTGCTTTCCATTCATTCTTCTTAGTCATAGACATGGTATTGGAGAAATTGGAACTTGTTGGGAAATTATTAGTACAAGTAAGCGAGAGATTACTTGTAAGTAAGCGAGAGATTACAAGTAAGCGAGAGATTTCTTACTAGAAGCAAATGTTTTTAAAAAGGGCTTCCTAATAAAATAGTGTGGCTGATTTTTAACACTCTGTACTATTTACTCTTCTTTTCAGTGTCCTGGACTGGAAAGACTTTAAGGCAATAAGTGGATTTCCTTGTGCTTATAGTTGACATCATCCCTCCTGAAAAGATTCCCTTGATAAAACTTTAGTTGCAGCTTCTATGAGTAACATCAGATTTCTTCCAGTGGAACAGTTTCCTCCCACGCTTGTATTTACTGAAATGGCAAACAAACTATTTTTTTTGTTCCTACTATGTTGTGAGTCCCTTGGCAACTGGCATTCAATAGTATATTGCCTTTGAACGTGGAGTATTCATAACGATTATGAGTTTCAGCCTTTGATCACTGAGCAAAATATATTGAACTGTGCAAGCAATTTAAGCCAGCCAGCCAGCTAGAGAAAACATGGTCCTGGTAGCATCTGTTGCCCAGGAAAAATACTTCTTCTAGTGATTTGTTACTTGCTCTGTATGAGACTAACACTAGCCATTTTTCTAGATACATAGGAAGCTTGTGATCAAAAGGTGATTTAGTTGCTAAGTTGATTTTTTGATAGGAAACACTAACTTTTTGGTATGATAGTGTTCTAATATAGAGAAGCCCAGTTCTTTGGTTCATTATCAATTCCATAACTTCTTGCAACTTTTGTTGTGGGTAATCATACCCAATTGTCTTCCTAAGATTAACGTGTTCTGTAATTGAGATAATTCTGAGAAGACCTCTGATGTTCTATGTGGATCTCAAGAGAGTATTTAAGCAAATTCTTATTTTGATCAAAGAGCCAAGCCCTTTAACTTTATCATAATTCCAGTCGTGTTGGATGTCAATTTCTATAATTTCCAGCTAGCACAACAGAGTCCCGTAATAGTTTAAATGCAGTTTATCTAGGACAGGGGTGTCAATCTCAAAGCCCACGGGCTGCATCCGGCCTGCTTAGGGTCCGTAGGGTTGCCCTGGAAACAGTGAAGTACCAGCCCATGGTGCTTCTGTCAGAAAAAAATGGAGCTCGGGAGGCCCACATGCAGCCCTCCCAGGCTCTGTTTTTGCACACAATGAAAATGGCTGTGCCCTCACCCCCCCACCCCCCCCAAGCTCTGTTTTTGCTGGCAGAGGGCTGTAGGAGGCTGTTGTGACCAAAAACGGGGCCTCGATGAGTGACGTCGAGCTTGCCACGCCCATCCCAGCCACACCACACACCCCTGATCCCTGTGGTCAAACACAATCCTGATGCGGCCCTCAATCGAGTTTGACACCCCTGATCTAGAGGCATCAAGCTGAGGAAGTCTGCCTTAGCTTTGTGATGTTGTTGAAGGGGAGCAATAGCTTTATCCCCCTAGAAGTTCATGTCTCAATGGGCAAGACCATTTTCCACCCTCCCATGTTCAAGAGAAGACTAGCTTTGGAAACTGACTTTCAGCAGTGAGCTCTGTGGTCCATTTGCTGTGAATGAAAGAGCTAACTTCCATAGCACTTTCCCTGGTTTTTCAGGATGCTCAGAATCTGTTTGCTTGATTGTTTCCCATGTTTAGTGTCCAATTCTAAAAGTGCCTAATGTGATAAGTGAACCTGGTTTTACGTAGGAGACACTGGTCTTGCCTGTCTTTGCCCTTCTGATATGGGGGGGACGTGGCAGCCTAGAATGTGAATTATCTTCTGGAAGAAACTGGACAGCAACTATAGTTGCTTTTCTCTCTCTTTCTCTCTCTCTCCCCCACCACCCATTTGACTCTGCCCTTGTGGGCTGGAACTCATTGGAATTGTAATCCAACACAACTGTTGACCACTTGCCTGACCATTTTATAATCTTGGAACGGCCATGATGCGAGAGCCTAACAAAAGAATTGCTGTAGGAAAATGCTGCTTCAAGTCCATGTTCACCTCTTCCCTCTTCTTCTTCTCCTCCTCCTCTGCGTAAAAAGTGCCGCCTTGTTGGAAAGGTTGCATTTTGAACTTCTCGTCTGCATTTCCTGTTACGTGCAGAAGAGAAGTTATGAACAATCCTTCCCAGCAATCTTTTATGAATGTGAAAAAAGGTCTGAGCGACTCCT